GAGAGGCCAGGGGCACGCACCCCACACACCCATCACTCCTCACAGTGCTCACACCGAGAGGCCAGGGGCATGCACCCCACATACACATCACTCCTCACAGTGCCCACACCGAGAGGCCTCAGGGGCAGGCACCCCACACACCCATCAACTCACACACCCACACTGAGAGGCCAGGGGCAGGCACCCCGCACACCCACCGACTTGTTCCAGCCTGAAGGTCATCGCTCTGCCCTTTTCCACATGAGTGATTGGCTCTGGGTTGCAGAGGGGTGGGGGCTCTGCCTGCCTATGCTGCTACGCTCTTCCGCCCCCTCCCCCGTGGCCTCACCCACAGCCCCTCAGCTTCCTGACTGCAGGAAGGAGCACCCCGGAGTGCGGGAAGCAGGACGCCCTCAGCTGGCAGGGGTGGCTCTGCCCGCAGGCCCCGTGGGCACCCTGATCCTGAGGGGCTGGAGGTTTTGACTGCTGGGCTGGCGAAGCTAAGACTGACGACCTCACTGTGTGGGTCAACACATTACCAACTGCGTGTCCTCTCAGCCTCCCGGGGAATTTCTCCCCGTCGTTTATGGCTTTCCCAGGCTTTGCTCTTAGAGTCCTGAAACCTCGGAGTATTGCTGTGTCTGACACACTTATCCTGCCGCCCATCATGGGGCAGTGGGTTCTGACGGGACTTCTGGGAGACTCGGGTAGTCATGTCCCGTTGGGACCTGGCGTGGCTGCAGATGGGCTCACCGGCTTCCCTTCCCCCTGGCACTGTCCACAGCTACAGCGACATTCACGAGAAGGCGCTCTGCACCAGCTGCGCAGTGTTTGAAGCGTGAGGCTGCTCCGGACGGGCTCTGCGGTGACCGGCCCCCATGCCGAGAATACAGAACTGTGGGGCGAGCGGGGTGGGGGGGTTTATATTTTATATTTTGTACTCCGAATGTCAAAAGTGAATAAACCTTTTATATTTGGACAAGAGGGCTCTCGTCTGCATGAGTTGTGTTTAGGATGTCACCGCATCTGCTGAGTGCTGGGGAGACGCTGCAGACCTGGGAAAGCTGATGTGGATGGCGTGCTGGCTCGGGAAGACCCCGCAGACCCAGGGGAGCCGACGTGGATGGCGTGCTGGCTCGGGAAGACCCCGCAGACCCAGGGGAGCCGACGTGGATGGCGTGCTGGCTCGGGAAGACCCCGCAGACCCAGGGGAGCCGACGTGGATGGCGTGCTGGCTCGGGAAGACCCCGCAGACCCAGGGGAGCCGACGTGGATGGCGTGCTGGCTCGGGAAGACCCCGCAGACCCAGGGGAGCCGACGTGGATGGCGTGCTGGCTCGGGAAGACCCCGCAGACCCAGGGGAGCCGACGTGGATGGCGTGCTGGCTCGGGAAGACCCCGCAGACCCAGGGGAGCTGACGTGGATGGTGTGCTTGGAGCACTTTGCATGATCAAGTTGTGTAGCCCTTGTGGGTGTCGAGTGTGGCTATTCTTATCCCCACTTTACAGGTGAGCGGATGGAAGCCCAGAGTGTGCTCCGTGCCTGGGGTGACCCGGCTGGTGGATGGGGAGGAGGGCACACTCCCTCACCTCTCCCAGGATCTGCCCAGAGAAGTGTTCCCAGAGTGCCCTGATGCACACTGCTCCTCCAGCGCGCCCTCCTGCCACACCTGATGTGTCACCATCCAGCGTAGCACGTCTGCGCACCTGTTCGCTCTCCTAACTACGGGCTCCACAAGGGCTGGGGCTTTGCCTAGACCCATGCCTGGTCCATGCATTTGTAATAAATACCTGCTGGGCTTCCAGCCATGATGGAGTGACAGGCTGGGCTTGCCCTCTGCCTTCAGCAGCTAAAAACCACCCAATATTCAGAAGTTGGACAGCAGGCAGTGTGGGGCTGTGGTCTGTGGAGAAGGGAACAGACTAGGTGAGCCTTCGTCACCCCAGCTCACCGGCTGGAGCGAGTTGCCAGGCCACAGTGCAGGGAGGGCCGCACTGAGCTCTGCAGGTGGCCTAGCTGAGGAGGGTGTTGAGAGTGAGGGGCCGCACAGCTGGGACTTGCACAGTAGATGCTGGAGAAGAGATAGCTGCTGAGTACTGATCCACATGTTCATGTGGGGGACTACCCGAGATGGGGGAGAACCGTCAGGGAAGAACCAGAACAGGTCCTGTTCCCAAGAGCCAGAGTGGAGAAACCTCCTAACATAGGGAGCACGGGGCAGTCAAGCACGCCGATTCAGTAGTGAGGCCACGCTGACCCTGGATGAAGACAACTCGTTCTTTCCTAACAACCTAAAGTCAGCCTCAAAAAGACCAAGCTGTTCCAAATACATTAATAGAATCCCAAAACAAAGCTCAAAAAGAATTAATGGAATAAAAATGTAACGAAGTCCACCCAGTAAGATAAAACTTACAGTGTCTGGCATTCAATAAAAAATTACCAAACAAAAGGACAGTCAGAAAACGGGTGCTATTGTAAGAACTCGGAAAAGTTTACACACAGAAAAAACATTCTTGGATGGTTACGAGGGTGGAGGAGGAGGGGAAATCACTAACTGGACGGTAGACAAATGTCAGCTTTGGTGAAGGGAAAGACAGCACACATTATAGGGGAAGTCAGCACAACTGGACCAAAGCAAAGGCGTAGAAGTTTCCTAGACACATCCAAACACTGAGGAACCAAGTGGCTGGGGCTGGGGACTGGGGACCGGGGACCGTAGTCTTGGGGGATACCTAGGTCAATTGGCATAACATAGTTCATAAAGAAAATGCTCTGCCTCCCACTGTGGTATGTAGTGTCTGGAGTCTTAAAAGCTTGCGAGCAGCCATCTAGGATACATCCATTGGTCCCATCCCATCTGGAGCAAAGGGGAGTGAAGAAAACCAAAGACACAAGGAAAAGACTAGCCCAGAGGACTAAAGGGCCACACGAACGCCAGCCTCCACCAGCCCGAGCCCAGAGGAACTAGATGGTGCCTGGCTACCACCACCAACAGCTCTGACAGGGATCACAACAGAGGGTCCCAGACAGAACGGGAGAAAAATGTAGACAGAATTCAAATTCACAAAGACCAGGCTTACTGGTCTGACAGAGACTGGAGGAACCCCTGAGACTGTGGCCCGCGGAAGCTCTGCTAACTCAGAACTGAAACTACTCCCAAAGCTCACTTTTCAGACAAAGATTAAACAGGCCTATAAAACAAACAATAAACACGTAAGGAATGTGCTTCTTAGTTCAATCAAATCTGTGAGACTAAGTGGGCACCTCTTGCCCAAAAGCAAGACAAGAAGTTAGGAAGGGACCAGAACTGGACAAATGGATACAGGGAACCCAGGGTGGAAAGGGGGAGCATGCTGTCACATTGTGGGGATTGCAACCAATGTCACCAAACAACGTGTATAAATTTTTGAATGAGAAATTGAGTTGTAGACTTTCACCTAAAGCATGATAAAATTAAAAAAAAAAAATTCAAAAAATAAAATGAGTAAAGGACTTGAATAGACATTTTACTAAAGAAGATGATGCAGATGGCCAACAAGTATATGAAAAGATGCTCGGCATCGTTAGCCATTAAGACCGTTGCTGTCGAGTAGATTGCAACTCATAGTGACCCTATAGACAGAGTAGAACTGCCCCACAGGGTTTCCAAGGAGCGGCTGGTGGATTCAAACTGCCGACCTTTTGCGTAGCAGCCAAACACTTAACCACTGCACCACCAGGGCTCCCATTAGCCATTTAGGGAAATGCAAATCAAAGCCACAGTGAGACACTTAACACCCACTAGGATGACCAAGATTAAAAACAAACGTTGGTGAGGATCTGGAGAAATTGAAACCTTCGTCTCTTGCTGTTGGGAATGCAAAATGTACTGATACTGTTGAGAACAGTCTGGCGGTTCCTCAAAAAGTTAAACATAGAAGTACCATCCGAAACCAAAACCAAACCCATTGCTGTCAAGTTGATTCCAACTCAGAGTGACCCTATAGGACAGGGTAGAACTGCCCCATAGTGCTTCTAAGCCTAAAGTCTTTACGGAAGTGGACTGCCACATCTTTCTCCTGCAGGTGGTTGGTGGATTCAAACTGCCGACCTCTCAGCGGCCGAGCACTTAACCACTGCACCACCAGGGCTGCCAGAAGTACCGTATGACCTAGCGGTTCCACGCCCAGGTATATACCCAAGGGATTGAGGCAAAAAGACCATGTACACCCGTGTTCGTTGCAGCATTGTTGACAACATCCAAAAGGTGGAAACAAGCTAAATGTCCGTCAACAGATGAGTGGATAAAATGTACAGACAACAGAGTATTACTCAGCTCTACAGAGAAAGCCTGGCACGTGCTACCGCATGGATGAGCTTTGAAAACACGCTGAGTGAAATATGTCTACCACAAAAGGACAAATTGTGTATGATCTCACTTCCTTGAAATAACAAGAATAGGCAAATGTATAGAGACCACAGTTTATTAGTGGTTACCGGGGCTGGAGGGAGGGGGAAGGGGGAGCCGTTTAAGGAGCAGTGAGTTTCTGTTCATGTTGATGGAAAATTTGGCAGCGGTCATGGATGATGGTTATGCAGCATGATTAATTGCACACATGAAAAACGTTGAATTGGCAAATGTGTTACATGTAAGGAGCCCTGGTGGTGTAGAGGTTAATAAGCGCTTGGGTGCTAACCAAAAGGTCATTGATTCAAACCCAGCAGCCGCTCCTTGGGAGAAAGACCGGGTGATCTGCTCCCGTAAAGACCACACCCTCGGAAACCCTATGGGGCCGTTCTGTTCTGTCCTACAGGGTCGCTATGAGTCAGAGTTGACTCAACAGCAATGGATTTTTTACAGGTGTTACGTATATTTTTACAATTAAAAAAAAAAAAGACAAGTCCACCGTTAAAATATACATATATACAGACATGCAAAGAAGCAGGAAAATACAACCCAGAATGAGAAGAAAAATCAATCCATAGAAACAGACCCAGAAGTGATAAAACAGCTATTATAAACACATTCCGTTGTTGAGAAAGGTAGACGGAAACAAGATGACATTTAAAGAAATGAAAGGCATAAAAACCTAAATTGTAGAGATGAAAATACAATGAGATGGAAAATACCCAGGATGGGATTAACGGGGGAGGGAAAGGTGAGTGAACTTGAAGACATCACAGCAGAAACTCCACAGTGAGACGGGGAAACGCTCACAAAGCAGTGCAGTGAGCGAGACATCAGGCAGCCGATTTGTGCCCGTCAGGGGTCCCAGGGGAACAGGAGGGCACAAACATTTTTGAAGAAATAATGGCTGAAATTTTTCCCAATTTGATGGAAATCATAAACTCACAGTCTCCCTGGCCCTGCCCTTGATGGCCCGCCCACGGCTCACCTGGCAAAAGGACCCTGCGCCCCTCACGCCACCGGGTCTGCTCTGGCCTCTGTGGTCTTACAGTCTTTCACAGCCAGGACCGCCCTCGTGGGGAGTCAGGCTGCTCGTGCACCCGGCCCACCGCGTTCCCCGCCCTTGAAGCTGCAGCAGGAGATGCCACCCGCCTCCCAACAGTCCCATCTAGAGCCTGTTGAGAGGGGTCTCTGGTCGTTCTTTCCTCGTGGCCTCACCCCCCAAGCTGGGACAAAACGTAAGTCGTGTTTGCGTTGATGCCGACGATGCAGAGCCTCTGCACTGCGGAGTGCCCCCGAGGACCCCTCCCTCACCCGCGGGGGTCCCTCGGGAAGGAGCCAGACGCGGCCGCCCAACGGCCCGCACCTGAGCGGAGCCCCCGCTGCCGTGTGGGCAGCTCGAGGATAAGGGAGCGCGGCGCTGTGTTTGCGGGTTTTCCCGTGCCTGGAGTCTGGAGACGTCCTGCCGCCAAGGCGCCGTGTGCTACGCGACACGCGTGTGTCTGCGTTTTCCCAGTGGCTGTCTCAGTCGTCACTGGTGTGACTGTCGCTCACGGCCTGTCGGAGAACCTGAGGCCGCCTCCAGACAGCGCCACAGCCCGTGATGCCCCCACCCCACTCTGGTGTCCGTCACCCGGTGGCCCCTCCACCCACCACCGGGAATGTCCTGGAGTCCAGGCCCACTGCCCGGAGGCTCGCTCCTGCCCCCAGCCGTTTCCAGGCCAGGGACCGGCACCCCTTCCTGCGTGGTGGCCGGGCCCATCCCTGCGGGGCGGTCGCCCTCCATCCCCACCTGGAGGGGGCTGAGTCCCGTCTGAGAGATGAGGGGGCTCGGCTGCGGCCCTCCCACCCTCGGTGCAGGACCGGCAGCAGACAGCAGTGGGAGACCCTATAGGGCGTGCCCTGGAGTGCAGTGCTGCGGAGCTTCCACCAGGTGGCGCCAGCAGCACGCTCTGCTCAGAGCTGGTTCTGAGGGGGCTGGGCTGTGCCATGGAAGGGGGCAGCCCCTCCAGCCCTGTGTGTCCCTCACCTGCCGTATGACCTTGAGCAGGCCACACGTCCAGGGCCTGCGCCTGCCGCTCTGAGGTTTAGGGCCTGGCTGTGGGCAGGGTCGTGACCTTGGCCCCAGCTCTGAGCCCAGCGGGGTTCCAAGCCTTCCTGGGGGTCGGGATCTCAGCCCAGGGGGACTGCGGCTGGGGCTGGGAGAGCAGCGATCGCCACGCGCGATGGGCTGAATTGTGTTCTTCAGAAGATGAACCTGTGAACATGACCTGTGTGGAAACAGGCTCAGTTAACACGAGGCCATAGAGGAGGAGGCTGGGTCCTAATTCTGAGTGGCGTTCTTATAAGACACAGGGCTGGCCTTTGGTGGCAGAGATTGGAGTGAAGCTGGGAGAGTGGCCTGGACTGGATTCACCCCAGCCAGCCTGGCGGCCCCCAGAACCATGACAGAGCTGTGTAGCCGTAAGTCCCCCAGTGTGTGGTTATTTGTTACAGCAGCCACGGCACACTCGCACCGTGCAACCTGGACACCTCCCTCAGGACACGGCCTCTCCACAGGTGTCCGAGGCCAGGTCAGGCTTCAGGCCAGCCCCCCAAAGGCCAGCCCGTGTCCCTGTGCCCTGCACACCCCTCCCCAGGGGTTGCCGTTGCCATGGGGCTGCTGACGCACGAAGGAGCTGGTGGCCTTGGGCATCAGGCTTCTGGCGGGCTTAGCTTCCTCTGAGGCAGGTGAATGTCCTGGCTTGAAGCTGTGGCCCTGTGGCTGCATGTCGGACGGCTGGGCAGGTGGAACAGGACAGCGTGGGCAGGCCGTGCAGAAGGCACCCCATGGGGCAGAGCTGGCTAAGCCGTGCTGACCACAGGGCTCCCCACGTGTGCTGGCCACAGCACCCCGAGTTCCTAGTGGGGCCTTGGCCACCAGGGCTGGGAGGCTACAATGCCATTCTCCTTCCAGGCCACCTCCCCAAACCCTCAGGACGCTGGGGGGCCTAGTTCCCGTCAGGGGGCTCCTCTGCCCAGTGCCCCCAAAACTGGCCATGGAGGGGGCAACACCCACACTCCTCCGTCCCTGCTGAGGTGGGTAGGGACGAGTGGGGGAGGGACTGCGCTGACCCAGGCCCCTCCAAGACCAAGCACCCAGGAAGGGCCTGCAGGGGCAGCACAGGGTGCCTTTCCCTCCTTCAGGTAGCCGTGCGGGGCCATGAGATGCAGGGCTGGCCCTGGGCATAGGCCCACCAGACCCCCCCATGCTGCCCGCTACAAAGCGCCAACCTCGGGCCCGACGGTGCTGACGGGAGCCCCCCCGCAGCTCCCCCAGGGCGTACGCGCCTTCACTCGCACGTGGCACAACCAGACCAGCCCAAACCTGAAAAGCAGTTTTTATTGAAGAATTTGGAGGGAGAGCTTCATATTATAATAAAAATACTAAAGTTGAATGTTGTAAAAAAAACGCCATGGGAGCGGCGGCGGCCGGCTGGGGTGCGAGAGGGTCAGGGGCCTCCCCTTCAGAAGGGGGTCAGGCCAGGGGTTGGGGTGGGTGCTGTGCCCAGCGAGTCCTGGGGGCATACAGCAGAAACAGAAGCCTCTATGAAGGACAAGTGCTACGTGGGGGACTGGGGGTGGAGGGGGACGGACAACCAGACGTAACACAGGAGGGTGGGGGCCGGGGGACTTTCCTGTCACTAAGATTAAAAACCACCCCCAAATGCATTTAACAGCATAGTAACAGGGATGAATTTAAACCTTGTTCCTCTGTTGTGGGGGTGGGGAGCCCCACCTCCTCAAGGTCACCATCCCCAGGGGGCACGGCCTAAGTGCAGGGGCCAGGAGAGGGCTCCAGGGGGCCGCAGCGACGAGCCTCTGGTGCCCACTGAGCCGAGGCGATGGACGCTGGGACAGGACAGCCAGGGGCTGGCGGAGGTTGCAGGCAGGCCCACCCGCCCACAGCCCACCGCCCGTGGCTGCAGACATCCTGAATATTTTCCTAGGTTCATCTAACTGTTCTGAGTGCCAAGGCTGCGTCTGGAGGACAACCTGGATGAAATAAATTAAGAAAACCCGCAGGATCACGTCTTCCCGACCAGCTCGAAGGAAGATGCGCTGAGAAATAAAATTAAATACGCCGCTCAGCGAGGCCCCGATGAGCCTGCCGTCCAGGCCCTCCACCGCTGCCCAGGACGCCTGCCAGAGCCTCGCTCAGGCTGTGCCGCTGGCTGAGTAGGAGAATTGAGGGAAGTGGGGCCTGCGCTCGCTGTCCGCACACTCCATGTTGTCATCTGCGGGCAAGAACTGCGTCAGACCCACACGGCCCTCCCAAGCCCCCTGCACCCCTGCCTGGGGCCTGCGGGAGCACCACCCCCAGACTTGACCCCTGGACACAGTGACCCCCTGGAACACTCTGGGGAGGGTAGCCGGGGGCAGCCCTCTGCCTGATCACACCACCCTTCGGGAGGAATCTTTTTTTTTTAATGTGGATTTGCAAACATCTGAAGCCAGTATAACGGGAGCAATCTAGCCCCCATGCCGGGCAGCCATGCACTCACGTGCAGAGACGACCTGGCTTGGAAGGGGCGTCGGCAGAGAGGCCCACTCTGTGCCCAGCCCCACCTCACCTTGGTCGGGCGGCGTGATGGTGATCATCTGGGCTGTGAACTCCTCATCGAAATACCGGGTGTCTGTCTCCGACGTGACCTGGGGCTTGAAGGGTGGGCTGAGCTGCAGGGGGCGGGAGGAAGGAGGGCATGGCTGAGGCCGTGCTCCAACAGGCAGTGCCCCCCGCCCCCCAGATAGCTAAACCCTCAGTTGGAGGAGGATGGGGTGTCAGAGGCCGTGTGCCACCACTGGGCAGCGCTGACGTCCAGGCAGCACTGATGTCTGAGGAAGGGGAAGCCGTTAACCATCCCAGGGCAGAGCTCTGGAAGGAGGCTCAGGAGGCAAGGGGGATGTGTGGGTGGTGGTCTGCCCAGTGCCTGGGAGGCACAGCCCCACCTGTTGGCAGTCACTGATAGGAACCTGTGTGGATGCTGCTAGCTCCCATCAGCCAAGGGCAAGGCAGAGTAGAGTTGGGTCACAGCAGCCCCTACAGGTAGCAGGAGATAGTGCATCCCAGCTCTGTAAGACCCTGCTCACCCCAGAAGGGGCCACCCAGTCCACAGACCCCTGACTCGCCTATGAACCAGGAGGGAGATCTGTGCTATAGGGGGGCTAGGAGCCCCCCAGTACCCCCCAATTCCCACCCTTCCTACCAGAGCCTCAGCCCAGCCACAGGGGATGATTCGGGAGGGAGGGGTAGAGTTGTGTCCCCACATCCTTCTACCCACACAGGCCAGTGAGTGGACCCAGGGGAGACTACACCTCTCCCAGGGTGGGGAGCCCAGGCATATGCCAGCCCAGGGGGGGCAGGATGGGGGCAGGGGTGCCACAGCCCATGGAAAGGACCTAGAAGCAGCCAGTCTCCTGGCATGGCCCTAGCCACAGTGGTGCCAACGGTGTCTTCAGCCTGACCAGCTCCCCATGCCCCACACCAGCCATGAGCCAGGACACCAGGGAATTGGTCTGTTCAAGCTCAGCCCGGAGGTACCCTGAAACCTACAAAGGGGGCTCCGAGGAACCCTTCCCTGCTTAACTGCTGACCCAGGAGATGGAGGTTCAGGAACCAGGCCCCCTCCTCTCCAAGTCCTCCACCCTCTAGCTGCAAGCCCCAGTCTGTGCCCCAGCCACTGTCCCACCAGAACTGGGCCTTTGCCTCCAGGGCTCCCGTCTGAGGGTGGAGGAGGGGACTCAGCCTGAGTCCGGGTTCCAGTTCTGCCCCGTTCATGGCACACCCTGGCCGGGTCAGGCTGCAGAGAGTACTCGCCATGGCCTTGGACATGAGGATCACTGTGAAGTGCTGTGTACATGCGAGGAGCCCCCAAAGACAGCCCCCCAGGCCCTGCAGGCAGCACCCCCAAAGCATGCACCTCCGGGGGCCTGGGAGCAGCAGCTCCCCACAAACCGGTAGGGTCTTTTGCCAGGCCTCTGGGCAGACTGAACCTGTACCACGGCAGGGCAGGCAGGCCTGCCGGGACCGGAGAAAAGGTCCAGCCAGCCTCGGGGCTGCCCGGCACAGCCGGCGGTGTGTGGCCAAGACGGGGAGGGCAGTTGGCACTGGGGTAGATGTGTGCCCAGTGCAAGAAGCTCAGCTTACTAGTCACAGCCCTCCTGAGCCCAGGAGGGAGTCCCCGTCAGCCTGGACCAGGGTCCCTGAAGCGAAGGGCAGTGTGACGGTCCCACAGATAGAAAGCAGCTACCCCCCTACCGGGAGGTGCCCACATGTACTAGAAAAGCAGGTGGCTGCCCCCATCCCATGCATACCCAGAGAGCTCTCCTTGCAGCAGGAGGGATTGAGGTCAGACAACTGGAGGAACTGGTGGAAAGCAAGACCTAGCACCCCTACTCCACCTCCAGCCTCCACCCGCAGTGTCTGTGCAGAGGAAACGTGGCACTGGCATCCGAAGGGGTGTGAGGCAGGGGGACATCTGTCCCTGTACCACACCCCCAGGAGGGAAAGACAAAAAAAAGACAGATGGCTTTTCAGCAGGAATCCAGCCAGGCCTCCAGCTCAGACCATGCTGGGCGACGGAGGGTGAGGCAGCTGAGGACCCTCTGTACTCGGGGCTGCTGCTGGCACCTGGGGTGGAGGTCTACGTGTGTGCAAGCGTGTGCACTAGTGTGTGGCGTGAGGAAGTGTGTGCATGTGCTGGGACACAGCTGTGTATTTCTGTGTGCTGGTGTGTGTGTGTGTGTGTGTGTGTGTGCGCAAGTGAATGCAAACATCTGTATGGCTGTGTGTGTGTGTGTGAGTTGTGTGTGAGTGAGTGACCGTGGTGGCTGTGGGTGCGAAGGCAGTGTTTGTGTGGTGACGGCCACGTAGCACGCACCTTCTTCTCGTACACATCCTGCCACACGATGCTGGCGAAGAAGCGGTGCTGCATGATCTCCTTGGCGTCCTCGGCACCCCCGCCGAGCCTGGGGGGAAACAAGGCCATGGGGACAGCGCCCTGCCAGATGCCTCTCTGCCCCATGCTCTGCCCCACACCCCCTCCCTGCTGCGGGATCCTGGGTCCCGGGGGCAGCGGGGGCAGCAGTGCAGCCGCTCTGAGCCACTGGGTGGGCAGGAGCTGCAGATGGAGTCTGGGCTTCCAGGGGGCGTGAGGGAGCTGCAGGGTCGGGAAAGGGCCTAGCCAGTGCCCGCTCGCCCGGCCACCAGCGTGTGTGTTTGGGGACAGGCCCGGGCTAGGACATCATGGGCTGACCACCAGCACAGCCTGGCAGACAGCCCAGACACAGTCCAGTGGGGCTCCCCTGGGGGCAGGGCAGGGCGAGACAGCACTCACCTCTGCTTGGGGTCCTTCTTGAGCAGCCCGGAGAGCAGCGACTTGGCCTCAGGGCTAAGCGTGCGCGGGAAACGGATCTCCTCCATGAGGATGAGTTCGAAGAGCTTCTCGTGGTCCTGGTTGTAGAAGGGCAGGCGGCCGCACATCATCTCGTACATGACCACGCCCAGGCCCCACCAGTCCACGGCCCGCCCATAGTCGTTGTCCTCCAGCACCTGCGCAAAGACGGGTGTCACACGGCGCCACCCTCCCCACATGAGGGGAGCATCACGGCACCAGGGGCACCCCCCAGGGGGCCGCCAGCAAAGCACCTCAGGGGCAGGTACTCGGGCGTCTCCCCCTTCCCATGGAGCCACCCTGATGCACCTCGGGGGCCAGGTACTCGGGCGTCTCCCCCTTCCCACGGGGCCGCTCCAACGCACCTCAGGGGCCAGGTACTCGGGCGTCTCCCCCTTCCCACGGGGCCGCTCCAACGCACCTCAGGGGCCAGGTACTCGGGCGTCTCCCCCTTCCCACGGGGCCGCTCCAACGCACCTCAGGGGCCAGGTACTCAGACGTCTCCCCCCGCCCCACAGGGCCACCCTGACACACCTCAGGGGCCAGGTACTCCGGCGTGCCACAGAAGGTCTTCATGGTGGCGCCGTCCTTGATGCCCTCCTTGCACAGCCCGAAGTCCGTGATCTTGATGTGCCCGTCCTTGTCCAGCATGAGGTTCTCCAGCTGCGCAGAAGCAGCTGTGGTTGAGAGCGGGAACCGAGTCTCTGCATCCCGGGGCCCAGGCACCGCCCTGCCCGCCTGCCCACCTTGAGGTCTCTGTAGACCACGTTCTTCTCCGAGTGCAGGTAGTCCAGGGCCGACACAATCTCGGCCCCGTAGAAGCGGGCCCGCTCCTCGGAGAACACGCGCTCCCGGGACAGGTGGAAGAAGAGCTGCGGGGAGGGGGTGCTGAGGTGCAGCTCATCGGCTGCAGGGCTAGGTAGGGTCGGGGCTCGGGCCGCAGGGCAGGTAGGGTCCGTGCTGGGGCCACAGGGCTGGGGCTTCTTGCTCACGGTCAGGGGGCAGAGGGACAGGCAGGACAGGACCAACCGGGGGCATGTGGACATGGTCAGCAGGCTCCCAAGGCTGCAAGTCTGTCTGGCAGGCTACCGGGCTGGGCAGGGCTGTGAGGCTCCAGGGAGAGGAACCCCCCAGCATCACTAGCAACAACTGTGGGTGCCGCACACGCCCGGGGGGAAGGGGAGTCTGAACTCAGGGCGGGACAAGCCCCTTCAGCGGTCACAGCAGCCCTACCTCGCCCCCGTTGGCGTATTCCATGACAAAGCAGAGGCGGTCGTGGGTCTGGAAGGAGTACTTCAGGGCCTGGAAGGAAAGCAGGGCTGGGACCAAGGCCTGGGCAGACTTGGGGGGCACCAGGCCCCACGCAGCGCACTGAGCCCACCAGTCTCTGCTCAGGGATGCACAACAGAGACCCCGGGAGATGAGGGGCCAGCCGGGGGCAGGGTTCAGGCCCGGGGACTTAGGGGCCTCAGAAGCAGGGCAGGGGGCCTCGAGAACAGGGCGGGGGGCCTAAGGAGCAGGGTGGGCTCTGAGACCCTGGCTGGCAGCCTGGCTTGGGCAGGACCGAGCAGGGGCTGCCTGAGCGGTCCACTGTCAGGAGCCGGGCTCCAGAGGGGCAAGAGTCACCAGTGAAACACCAGACAGCTCCAGGGTGACAGCAGGAGTCTGGGACCAGCCCGCGTCAGCCCAGCCCCTCAGCTCCCCAAGCTTTCAGAAGCGAAGCTGGCTGAGCCCGGCAGACAGAAGGACCGAACTGGTGGCCATTTTCCTTTTGTTCCCAAAAGCTAAGGGTTCTCCATGAACACGTACCAGATGGAGTCCCTCCCAGGGATGGGACCCAGACGTGAGCCTCAAGGGAGGACACAGCCCCAGAGGCTGGCCTGCAGGGGCTGGGGGTGGGGCCGCCCAGGCCTCAGGCAGGGGAGGGAAGACCCAGGCCCACCCGCCTTACTCCAGAACACTGGGGGCAGCAGCCCCCTACCCAACCCTGCCCACTATGGTCCCCCAGGCCAGAGCTGTGCCGTACAAGGAGCCCTCGGGGCCGCCCTTTAGGGATCCCCAGCCCGGCCCCTCGCTCCCTGCCCAGAAGAGGGCCCAGGAACTGGGCGGGGCACTCACTGTCAGAAAAGGGTGCCTGGAGTTCTGGAGGACACGGTTCTCAGTGAGTGTGTGTGCCACCTCGTCCTGCAAGACAGGCCAGGTGGTAAGTGCGGGCCCCACAGCCCCTCCTCCATCCCACAGACCCACGGCTCCACCCTACACCCCCCTTGCCCCACGTCCCCCCACCCAATTCCCCTTACCCCACAGACCTCCTGCCGACCCCAGCCCCTCCACTGCTCCACGGACCCCCACAGCCCCTCCCCCTGCCCCGCAGCGCCCCCACCTTGGCCACGATGACCTCCTTCTTCAGGATCTTCATGGCGTAGTAACGGCCTGTGGCCTTCTCCTTCACCAGGATCACCTTCCCAAAGGTGCCTTTCCCCAGGAGCTTCAGGTACTCGAACTCGTTCATGGTCTGCAGGGCAGCAGGCAGGCACCCAGGCTCAGGCCCCCACCTGCCTGCCCTAGGCGTAGGCACAACAGCCAACAGGCCCCACTTGGAGCCACAGCCTCTGGCTGACAGCTGAGTATGGGTGCCATGGGGTGTCCCCAGGGCCCCACACAGGCTCTGGCGGGGGTGGGGTGGGGGGGTGGCGAGATCAGGCCTCCAGGGCTCATAGAAGAACTCGGGCCCTTGGGCTTTGGGACAATGGGAAGACAGACACACCCCCTGCCTTCCAGAACCCAGGCATCCCCACTTCACTTCTGAAATGGGCTCTGGCTTATGGTTGGCCAGACTGTGCATCCACGCGAGGGGGCTTCAGGGGAGCCAGGGCCCCACACAGGAGCCCTGAGGGTATCCTGAGGCCACCCACAGGGACCCCTGACCCCTAGTCCAGCCTAGGTAGAGGCCAAGGTGGGGCTCACCACACGGTGCTTGGGCTTGGCCAGGGACACCTCCATCTCCTCAGCCCCCGAGTTGTCGCTGGGTGAGCCTGACCGGAAATCCATTATCTCCTCCTCCTGCCTCTTGAGCCCGTCCGCCACCGTCTGAATGGCCGTGGTCCACTCCTCCCTGGCGGCGCCTCCAGGTGAGCCCCCGAGGATGGCACCTCCAGCCAAGGGAGCTCCCCTGGACCCTCATCCACCCTCCTGCTTGGCTGGCTGGCCCTGTAGCATGGGGCAGCCACAGCGCCCTCCTCACAGCCTCCTCCTCCTCCTCACAGCTTCCCCCCCACAGCCTCCCCC